GACAGCTAACTAGTTGCGTTGTTGTAAAGGACCAATTGTGACATCAGACTCAGTAAACTTACTTTCAATTTCCCATAAACTTCCCCAGCTGGAGAAGTTAACAGTGGTGGTTAGCTGCTGTTGGGTCGGCCCCCGACTCGTGGCGGCCCCGTGCACAGTGGAACGAATGTTGCCCAGTTCTCTGCCATCCCGGTCATTAGTTGGGGATCAGACTGCTGTGGTCCATAGGGTTTTCATCAATGGATTTTTTGAAAGTAGATTCCCAGGACTTTCTTCCTAGTCCATCTTAGTCTGGAAGCTCTGCTGAAACCTGTTCCACATCATAACGACACGCAAGCCTCCACTGACAGATGGGTGCTGGCTGCGCATGAAGTGCATTGGCGGGGAATCGAACCCGGGTCTCCTGTATAGGAGGCCAGAATCCTCCCACTGAACCACCACTGCCTTCTAAAGGACCGAGTGTGACACGAAATGAAGTACACTTAATTTTCCCAAACTCGCCCAGTCAAAGAAATTCACAGGTTGCTCCCTCGGTAGGGATCTACTCTAGGGTTTGTTTCTTAATAGCGGGTTGGGTGATAAGAACATAGCTTTGGCTAATGGGAAGGGAGTTTGCATTTATTCTGGGATGGTGAAGAGACAGTTTGGGGATGCTCGTTGGCGGGAGAGCTGCCTCTTCCCTGGACTTCGATCTTCCATCTGGCCATATGGGTTGGGAAGCTGCAGTTGAGCATGGGTTCTGCTGTCAGATAGGGTCCCTGACTGTGCGCCGTGGACCCCGCGTGACGAGGCCCACCCCAACTCATTAAACCAGAGCACACTGTACCGAGCGCGCGGCTGTGCGATTTTAATATTTGGTACATGTGACGGGATCATTTTAGTGATTTGCAGGATTTATCTCCTCTTGAAAGTACTGCCTAAGGCTACTCTAATTGGTAGGAAAGCAAATTCCCTCTTCCCTTCCTGTCAGTCTTTGTTTTATTTACTGAGAACTGCCGAAACCTATTTACACAATAATGAGGATAAATCACCAGGATGCTTTCAACACAAAGAGAAATGTTTCGCGAGTTGAAAGCTGTACAATTAAAACAAAATTCCAGATATTCCTGAAGTGGTCTGTGCCGTTAGGGAGAGCAAAATAAAATTAAGACGAATGATAGGATCGCACCCCTCAGGAAGCTAATCAGGATCAGAATTCGAGAGATATTTTATGATGGGCAATTCCGCTTGAAATGGCAATGAAGTAAACGCCTGTGAGTTACCATCAATATTTGTAATAAAAATAAACAATCATGCATTCCTCCAGCCTGCATATAAACAGGGTGAGTTTAGGCGTCATAATTATGACATTGGCGGAGTGGTGGTAAGTCATGTGAAAATGTTGACTGTGCCTCGGCAGCCTCCGGGGTGTTCTCAGTGAAGAGGACCTCGGCCACGTGGGTGAGACACTCCAGATGCACTTGAGTGGATGACCCCAAAGGGTCCACTTATTTAGATGTCAAGAGCATCCTACGTCTGGGAATGTTTCTTATTGGAAGGCATGCCACAAAGAGACGCAGCAGCAAAGAGAATTATGCACAGAACCTGTCCTTGAACTTGGCCCACTTGGGTGTTGGGTTGATGCCTGCTTTAGCTGGCTCCTAAGTCCTTGAATTTGGCCCAGATAGATGTTGGGTGATGCATGTTTTCAGTGATACCCAAGTCATTGAACTTGGCCCACACAGTCATTGGTGATTCGTGGTTGATGTCTTCCACGTCCTTGAATTTGGCCCACCCAAATGGGTTGTTGGGTCGTGCATGCTTTCAGTGGCTTCCAGTTCTTTGAACTTGACTGACGCGGGTGTTGGGTGATGCGTGTTTTCAGTGGCTTCCATGGTCGCCATAGTTGTTGGGTTGATGTGTTCGATGCTTCCAGTTCCTTGAACTTCGCCTGCATGGGTGTTGGGTGATGCATGCTTTCAATGGCTCCCAAGTCCACCGGGTTTGCAAAGAGGACCTCAGCAGGCTCAGCTCCACCCAGAGGCGGCTGCTCTTGGAAGCCCAGCCAGCTTGCCTTTGGATGGTGGGGACCAATCATGTGACTCCAGCAGGTTTGCAAGCAGACTTAAAGTGGCAATCACGAGCAGAGCTGGGAACAACCCACGTATAGCACAGCCCACATAAATGCTTGCAGAGGCGAAGCCGAGCTGCAGCACAGTCAGTTTGGGTGGTTGGGTGGTTCGGAAATATGATTTTCTAGTTAAACTTCCTAAGATTGATAAGAACGAGAGGCCCTTTGTTATCAGGCAGTGGGTCCAGCAGGCAAGAGGTGGGGGGCCCAGCCTGACTCTTGACTTTCCTTGGTCTGACCCTGGCCAAGACCCCTTTGCCCCTGGGGGACTAGACCAGATGTAACCCGAGGACCTTTCCAGTGCTGACCATTGAGGAATCTGTGGGCTTCCTTCTCCCCTGTGCCCCTCCCCAGCCACCCCTGCCTCCCACCCTCAAAATTGGTGCCCACCCCAGGCCGTTCAGCAGTCCATACTGCTCCCTGCTTCCTGCTGGCTTAGGTGATGGCTGCCCAGTTATCCCAGAAAAAAAAATAATTCACATAAGCAGATTTTAGCACGTTTACCAGGTCTTTTAACTTCATCTGACACTGTTTGGGTGGAAGATGAGAGAAGTATATTTTTTATATCCCAGGGGAATTACTTTATGATGACTCTTTCAAGGTGAATATTGGCATTTATTTAGCCTGAGCAGAAAATAAAAAAGAACATATAGAAGCAGCAGCATAGAAACACTGGAGTCAGCAGATAGTATTTTATTTTGTTGCTTTGAATTGCTATCCCTCAAACACAGCTAAATCTAAGTTAATTTAAAGTTTCTCTTGAGGAATTCATATCAAATTAAAGTGTTTCTCAGCCGTGATGACAAGAACAGGGAACACATCTGAATTTCCTCCAAATTATGGTCTATTTTTATAGTCTCCTAAGATTTCCCTTTGTGGACCTTATTCCACTGTCTTTGAAAGAAAATTAATTTAACTAATGACAGCTCAGACTAAAACATCAATCACGGGAAGAGACAGAACATGACCGTCACTGAGTAGAAGAACATAGAAGCAGAAGAGGGCTTCCTGCCTGGAGCTCGCTCAGCACCCATCGTTTCTTTAGATTTTTTGTGCGTGGTGCTGATACCGCGTGTCCTCTCGGCTCTGCGAGCGAGCAGGGAAGATCGTCTTGCTTTAATTCTCCATCTCGCCCCCTTCTCAAGCCGTGGCCTGACCATCCCAAGGAGCAATGGGAAATCCATATTTTCTCTCCTGGGCGTCCCTGGCCAGCCGCCACCACCGCCGCACAGCACACCGGGAAGGCTTTATTTATTCATGTCTCCACCACATGGCCGGTCGGTTCTTCTAGCTTGTCTGGAATGACCCAGGCTGTTCTGGGGTGATGGTCCCTGTCTCATTGTCCTTCGACATCATGCGACGTGAGGTGGGAGGCCGGAGGAGAACACCTTCCTTGTGCACGTACCCATCCAACAGCATAATGGGGCTTCGTGGCGCTCGGTGGGCATCGGGAAATGCCAGTGGGGTGTTTAGAAAATTTAAGACGTCTCCGTTGGCAGTTAGGCACGCTGCTTTTGATTTTGCGGAGCGCCACCTTATTGACGCTGACTTCGGTTTATGAATGATGAAGTGGAGGACTTTCCCTATCAGTGCTCACAGTGTAGCTCTTAATAAAAGATTAAGCGGGGAAGAGGAGGCAGTGCGGATTTCTGACACTCTGCTGATAAGCGGCTCCAATTCAAGGCTGCGAGGAGCGGCTGCACGACAGTGACAGATGCTGAATGGGACACAGTGCACACATGTTGCACCTCGCAATGTGACGTGTAGCCATGTGGAAAATCTGTCTGAGGAACTTTCTCCGGATCAGATGCCGAAAACGCGTTCTGCGTACTGGAGGCTCCACTGTACCGGCGGCTGGGAAATTAGCAGACACGTGGCCGTGGGGCCGGGCGGGCGGGCGGCCTTGTTGCCCAGGAGGAGCCGGGCCCGGGCGTCAGAGAAGGTAGCAGGCAGCGTGGCAGGAGCGAGCTGTCAGTTTGAGAAATGAGGAGTGTAAGAGGCTGGGACCAGCTTGGCAGATGTGCGAGAGGTACAGGGAGCATATTGATCAATTAAATATGCAAATACCTCAGCAAGTAAAGACAGAGATAAATAAAGTGACAGAAACATCAAACTGCACGTTAATGATTCGGTAGGGCGCCCATCCCAACAGTTTACTTGTAAATAAATAAATGCCGCTTTCCCCAAGTCAGTTTATAACGTTGGTGACGCGGCCAGCCGGCCCCAGGAAACAAACGATGGTTTTGAACCCTGGCGGACAGCAGGCCCAGGAGCCCGGGGCCCCCACTCCCGGTCCCCAGAACAAGGGGACGAATTCAGGTTTCGCCGTGACAATGGCCCGCCCGTATCCCATTGTCACCGACTTTTTCAGGCCGTTTCTATATCGTTTCCTTTCTCAGCCTCCCCAAAGAAAGCCCGATTGTTCCTGGCCAGACTCTGCGGGCACTCTCCTGCCCACGGTGAACCCCGTAAACCAGGGACCCCAGATTGGGTTTCACTCTGGGGCTGCTGACCGGGCCGGGCAAGGTCCCTACCTTTTGTCTGCGACTTTCCCTCTGAAAGGTACCTAATTATGACTTAGCTCTTCAGACTAATGAAATTATCCTTGTGTTCTCTTGCTCCTCTACTCTTGTCAGGACTTTGAAACATGATCGTTTAATTACTGACACCTACTGTACTCATTTTATGCACGCAGAGCTAGAAAATGCTTGTTTCTGGGAGCCCGACAGGGGCGCTGGGCTCTGCCCTTTTGGCAACTTGTATATGGTTCTCTTTTCCTATGAAAATTTAATACAGCGACGGGTCAGCTTGGGCTCGCTTCTGTTAAGCGGCCCCAGATTTAGCCATTTATAACAGAATTATTTGAAATTCCTCGCTGGGAAAAGGGCAGGAATTACCGCGTGTGGAAGATGCCGGAACAAAACCCCAACCAAGTTCAATGCTATCTGGCCCCGGCCGCCCCTTGCTTGTGTAGCCACGAGTGGCCCCATCACAATAAATGTGGAAAAGTAAGATGTCATTTAAAGAAACGGGGGAAAATATTCAGACTTTGACATTTGGGCTGTTTTTCCACACTGATAACATCAAAACTTGTACTTCTTGATAATAAATAGGAGAATGTCAGCTGTCAGTCAGGGCTGGGAGGAGGGCGCGCGGGGGGCGGAGGGAGACAATGGGAGCCCTGAGGATGTTTCTGGGCATCACCTCTCAAATGAAAGTGCTGTGCGTTAGGTGCCTTCCGTCTCTCCCCAGGAAGTGCCAAGGGGGGCGCTGCCCCCATCAGATCGACCTAGCCCCCCTCAATTTGTGGGGGTGCCAGTCTGCAGGGAAGGGTGGGTCTGGGAGAAGGGCCGTCTTCCAGGAGGCAGCACCCCTGGGCTCTGCTCTAGTCCGTGCAAAAGTCCTGGGGCCGCTGCTGGCCTTCCAGGGGCTCCTCCACAGCCACGCCCCTCAGCTGCCTTTCACCCCTTGTGGTTTCAGACCAGGAACGTGGTGCTGGACCGACCAGGTGCTTCCAGGGCTCCAGCGAACTTTGTAGGGGAAGCAGAAGCCCTTCCCAGGTGGCCTGGGAGCCGATGTGCATGGGGGGCATGCCCACACAGGAGTGGATTGTCACATGGAACCCAACCCGTGGCGTCCATGCCAGGTTCCCGGGCTTTTGTCTCCCTCATCAGAGCACCAGCCCCGCTCCGTTCTCCGACGTGTCTCCATCTCAGGTTGCATGGAGTGAGACCGGCGGTATCTGGCTGGCAGTGAGGGCGCTGAGCCTCTTCTTGATGCTTGATCAGTCAGATTGATGCGGGAGGCCATATGTGGCGGTGTCAAAACTTGGCTACCAGGCCCTTCCCTCCCCATGAAAGATGCAGTGAAAAGGAGGCCTGGGGTAGGAGTGCGGGCAGGCGTTTCTGCCGGTTTGAGCCTCTGCTCAGTATTTAACGGCTGACTCTCCCCCTGCCAAGTTCACGCAGGGCTAAAGGTGGCCACAGGCTGGGCGTGTCACCAGCTCTCTGGAGTTCAAGCTCCAGGGGGCTCGAGGAAGAGATGGCATTTTTCTCATTCTCTGAGACAACAAAAGAGAATACTTGAGAAGGGAAGCAGCAGGGGGAAGATACAAAGACAAAGGCAGAGGCAAGGTCAGCAGAGCTAATAGGCTGAGCGGTGAGTGAATCGCCTCCGGCGAGGCACCGCGTACGGCTGTTCCTCCCACGGCTCCCGCGAAGTCCAGCCCCCCACCCCCTTGCCGGGGATGGACCCCAAAGGGCCCATCCCGCCCCCCAGCCGCGCCTGCTTCTCGGCGGCCACCGGCCCGGCCAGCTGCTTGAAGGGGCCCCCGGCATGGCGGGCGGCGCCACCAGCCAGCTGATGGGCAGCCGCGTGCCCGAGCGCGGAGCTGTCAGGTTACGTCTTGTTGCCTGGCTTCATTCAGTCGCTCTTTTAATGTGCATTCAAGTAGAATAAGTGAATCTTCCCAGCACCAGCTGAGCTCGGACTTGTTTCTGCATGGTGGCTGTTGGACCACCAAGGCCACCTGACGTCCAGCAGCCGGCCTGGGCTTTTTTGGCAGAGTTGGACGATGCTCATGCTCTTTCATCTCAATGGAGACTCAGACAGATCCTAGCGGCCCCCGCCCCCACTCTGCGTTTTGACTTCTCCATAATAATCTTTGTAGCTTCTTGATCATGTCCCGTGTTTTTCTGGACAAGTTTGAAATTGCACGCGTCAGGACTTTGCTAATTAAAGTCATACTTTCAAAAATGCCATAATAACTGTTAATTAGCTTGATGCTATTTTCAGCATAATTTGCTAATTAGTAGAAAACCTGTACAGCATTTCTTCCTAATTACAGTATGGCTCCACACGCCGCATCTGTGACTTGGCTCCAAATGATGTCATTATGAAGTCCCACATTACGGATTCTTTCAAAACAGTTAATTACCTCTCCTGATATTGACAAACTCTAAAGTCAGCTGGATTTTGTAACTAATATATGCAGAGGAATAATCTGTGTCATGTCCTTGTCCATGGCAGGGAAGTAACAAAAGTATCATTTAAACATTGTGGGAGAATTGATACAAGTTTACAAGGAGTAACACTGTTGCGCTCTCTCCACTGTCATGCATGGGTAAGCACAGGTGGGTGGGGGGCCACCCCAACTCTGGCAGGGACTTCAGACGCCTTGGGTAAGATTTGATTACTACTGGGAGCATGGACGCATTCTTTGTGTCCTGATGACATGCTGACTGGGTTTTCCCATGGAGATGTGAAACTGAATTGAAATGTCCTACCCTTAAGAAGGAGCGCTGGTGGCACAGTGGTTAAGAACTTGGTTGCTAACCAAATGGTTGGCAGTTCCAATCCACCAGCCGCTCCTTGGAAACCCTATGGGGCAGTTCTACTCTGTCCTGTAAGGTTGCTATGAGTGGGAATCGACTCGAAGGCAGTGGGATTTTTGACCTGTAAGGAGGGGGCTGTGGTGATCTGGAGGTAGAATTCCCGCCTTCTGTACAGGGCGCCTGAGTTTGATTCCCGGCCAGTTCACCTCATGCGCAGCCACCTCCTGTCTGTCCGTGCGGGCTTGCGTGTTGCTAGGATGCTGAACAGGTTTCAGTGGAGCTTCCAGACTAAGACAGACTAGGAAGAAAGGCCTGGTGATCTACTTCCAAAAACCAGCCAGTGAAAAACTTGTAGATCACAACAGCCTGATCCGAAACCAGCCATGAGTGTGGCCTAGGACCAGCAGGGTTTCATCCCATTGTGCCTCGGGGCGACTTGTCGGCAGTGAACAGCAATAACTCTTAAGGAGAGGAGAAGGCTGCCTGTGGAAACCACCTTCTGAGCAGTCTGGCCTGAGGGCAGGACTCTGAGCCGCTCCAGAGCCTGCTTGCTGATAGCCCTTGGGCCTCATGGATTCGGGGCTGGGAGGTACAGAAAACCCTGTCGCGTGCCTCCTCTCTCCTGTGGGCTCACCCTGCAGAGCCTGGCTGGGGTGAAACATCACCCCATGCAGAGGGTGATCGGAAGCTCGCAGGGGTCAAGTGACTTCCCAAACTCCTACCCGCACTTGGCTGACTGGACGCTCCACTGAGCGAAGGCCCGCTTGGTCTTTGTGTACATATTTCACTTAATCCTCACACCAGTGCCTTGAAGTCAGTGGGCAAATGCAGGCTTCGCAAAGGAAAGTGTCTTGCCCCGAAGGCCCACAGAGGAAGCTGCAGACAGGTGTGCGCCCAGGACCCACTGTCTCCAAGACGGCGGTTCCCCCTTGCACACGCCTTGCTCTGTCATAGGCGTCCTGTACCCTCCACGGCCGTGGCCTTGCCCTGCCCCCGCCAGACAGCGCCCATGGGTGCGAGTCCACCAACCCAGGCACGCCCTCACTTTTGCAGACAAACTGTCACAAGCCTTGCAGAGAAGTGTGGGCCAACAGGAGCCTCTCTGCTTGGCAGCTTTCCTGAGAGTGCATCGTGTAAACATTGGGAGTCCTGATGCCTTACCCACTGTTGGAAGCAACTGAGACAGCAAAGTTGAAAACAGATGATGGCCACCATATGTTGGAGCAGACTCGGCAGAGGTACCAGGCAGACGGGGCTTCTAGAGAACAGCGTTCGCTTGGGAAGCAGGGACAGGGTTGTCCGGGTTACTGTTGGAGTCATTGCAGCTGAGCTAGGGACCATCCTTCACCTGGTGGCCACGGGGCAATGGAGGCTGTCACCATTGGACCTCGGCTGCAAGGTCTTCCTACCAGCCCAGTCTACAGAAGAGCCTGGGGCTGCCAGTGCACAGGGGTGGGGCCCCAGGTGAAAAGTTGCCCATCAGTAGGTAACCGAACCCTACAGGTGGGCCCTTCCCTGGGACTGCAGGATGGGCCACCCCCAGGGGCCGGGTGCTGGTGACTCTGGTGGCCGGCGTGGTCCTTAACTGTGGTCCTAGTGGGGTCTCTTCCGGTGCACCCTAAAACCGACAGGACCGGGGCTGACGAGGGAGTCCTCCGCCCTCGTTGTGACTAACTAATGCACCCATTTTAGAACCCCCTTCATTTATGGATTTTGAAAGGCATTATTAAATTAATTAAATGATGAAGAGTTATTCATTATGAAATCAGGAGGTTTCCATGGATGACAGGATTTATGAATTAAACATCTAAAGTTCTGTGCAGGAGACACCCAAGTGCAGATCAGCAGCTTGACAGGTTTCCCCTCTAAGCTAGCCCACGTCTCCATAATAAAAGTTTCATTTCTACCAGAAAATAGGAACAGGAACAGGACCAGGGAGCACATTAATGGGAAGGAGAAGGAGGAGGGGACAATTAAGCCTTTACTGAAATGAGGATGCCTCCGAGTTCCGTCTCCAGCGACAGGGGTGGGGGGCCGAGGCTTTGTTTACCCTCAACAGTGGGTAACTGTGAAGAGTTCTCCACTGGTGTGTGTGGGGGCCTGCGAGCCCACATCAGACCCGATGGGGTCTGCCCACAGCCCTTCTTTCTCTAGCAGAGTCATTCACCTTGCTGTTGACCTCAGCAGGCGTCTGGAGTCGGACTGATCAATGAAATTAACTGTATGTTTAAACTCTGGCTTAGCTGGAGAGGAGAGGGGCACAGAAGAGATGGGGAGCAAGGTCTCGTTTCATGTGTGGGCTGTGATTTGCAGATTAGCTGGAGAGGCTCGTTCGAGGCCCGTTAGGAAGTTTGCCAGCAAGAGTCTTTGTTTACCATGCCAGGGGAAATTGTCAGAGCTGGTAAAAATTTTCTTCAAATTTTTTCATCTTCCTAATCTAACAGTTTACTGAACTTGATAAGTGTCCTATCAACATGTTAATCAAATTACTTATGAACAAAAATTGACAGTTTTCATTAATTATACAAGATTATTCTAATTGCAATTCAAATTTATTCATTTAGAACAGAAGGTATTCAGTAATATTTTACAAAATTTGC